TCTCTCTCACCTCACTATAGTTGATTTTGTTCATTCTTGCCAACATAATTTCTGGTGTGTCCGGCATTATGTGGATCTGGGTCTTGTCTTTGTCCCAGGCTTCTGTGTATAAACGCTATCAAAAAATATATATAAATTTATCAGGAAAAAAATTCAGTGTATAATTAATAGAAATTTCAGTGCCACAAGAGCATTATAAACAAAAAAGGAAAAAGTAATGCATCGTAATATGTATTTTATACAAATCTTCAAGTAATCAGTTCACAGTGGAACAGATATGTGTAAGTGCCTTCTGATAATCTGAAATGTACATTAATTAAAAGGAAAGTGAGAATAACTATCTTTTACACAAAGATTATTCTTTCACACAAATATGCCATTTTATCAAAATATAACCAAAGTAAATATTAAAATATAAATGACCTATATCAGATAGATGGTGCATAGACAGATAGATAGAGAGATATAGGTAGGCATATAGATGTCTTCTGTTGCTCAGTGCTCTATGAGTATTCCTTTCTTTTCTCAATGATTCTGCCTTTTCTTTGACCCAACTTCAGGAGTCCCACCCTGGTTCTCTGAATTTTGAAGCCTTACCTTGTTCATAGTGATGGCATTATTTTTGGCCAACACTTGTTCCAGAGAATCAGTTACACTGGTAAATTTGAATTTGTCTGGAGGCTCGCGGTAGATTTTATCACTCAAAATTTCAGTTGCCTTTTTGCATTTTTCCACTTCCAAAGAGCCAATGGGCACCCAGCCAATGCCTCTCAGCCATTGGAGATCTGACTTGTAAATATTCTGTTGACACACATAGTCAATAAATATTTATCCCTGCATTGGGAATGCATTTTCATCTAAACAATATAAAACCAAGTAAAAACATCTTGAAAATATAGTTTGGTGGTCAGGCAGGATGTTAGACAATATTCCAATTTAGTCTGGAGGCTTAAAGGATTAACATTCATGAGGAAGGAAGGCAGCTACTTCCCCCTTGTGGGGGCTGGTGAGGCTAGTGCCACCTATTGCTACCTTCTCCAAAGGGTGTTAATTCCCTGATTTTCCACCTTTCCATGTCATCACAGCCCTCAGTACTCACATCACTCTGGAGGTCATAGGCCTGCCGAGCGTGGATGACGTCACTCTGGTCGGGCAGACACGTCCACTCGTGCAGGTAGTTCTTGTAGTCTATGTCGCTGACTAAGGTCTGGCACTTCTTGGCCAGCACCACCCCCAGCATGTCCACTGGGCTGCTGAACTTGGTCTTCCATTTCTCAAAGTCCTTCTTGTACTCTCTGTCACTTTGGATCTTGGCCACGTGCATGGACCACATCATCTTGGGATCATCACGGATAGCTCGGGCCCCAATGTGGTGGCCAAGCTGCTTTCGATAGCCTTCTTTATACTTGAACTAGAAGAAGAAAAAGACTGTTAATCAGCAGTTTTAACTTTTAGTAAAAAGCAATTTACTACACCTAAATTTTCCTATTCATTAAAAAATAATGATTTTCCCCTGAATATATAAATAATACATAATACCTGCGTCTTGTAAACCATTTAGAAAATAAATGAAATATATATATATATCAAAAAAAGGTAGCAAATATTAACACATGATTCTACCACTCAGAGATAACTTTTTGTAGTATATGTGTGTGTGAAAGAGAGAGAATAAAACTAGAATAGGAGTTATACTGCATAAGGGTTTATGTCTGCTCACTCTGTTATCATGTGAGCATTTTTTTGTGTCATTAAATATTCTTTATAAACATGATTTTTTTATTGTAACATAGTTGATTGTACATATCTCTGGGGTATAAAGATGAATATCAATACCTGTGTGCAATACACAATGCTCAAATCAAAATAATTAGTATATTCAACATCATACAATGTAATCATGTAAACATGATTTTTAATGGCAGCAGGTATTTCATTATATGAATATATATTAATACATTTAACCCTTCTCTGGTTGTTGGGCATTTATTTTAAATTATGATTATTACTTCCCATATTTTGGAAATAAAGGAAAAAATATATTTTTTGACTTCATGGATAAAATAAATAGAAGGATAAAAATGTACAGAAATGTGAGCAAATCCACCTTTTAAAGAAAATAAATATCTGCAGCCAATCACTGGATGCGGAGACAAATATATGGTCCACATGGATAGTTGGACTTTGAATAATGTATCCTATTCACTCAGTCTGTTGGTTGGGTTTTTTGGGTTTTTTGGGTTTTTTTTGTCTTTTTCGTGACAGGTAAGGGAATCGCAACCCTTGGCTTGGTGTCACCCGCACCGCGTTCAGCCAGTGAGCGCACCTGAGCGCAACGGCCATTCCTATATAGGATCCAAACCCGC